GGTCTGGATAGCCCGCAGACATACCATAAACATTTCTAGGACCCATAATTGGTCTCCTTTAAAATAAATTTTATTAATTTTTTTTATTAAATAGACTAAAATTTTTCATTTAAAAAATCTAAAGCTGAACGACAGCTAAAACACTAGCTTATTGCTAAAAGTAGGTAAATGTTAACTAAAGCTATTTGTAGCAACCTGCTATTTAAAGGCAAAATGTAGCAAAGGGCAAGCAAAAGGCTTAATGTTGGAAATGAGTGACTAAAAGCAGCAAAATGCCAGCTAAATGTATTAATGGCTAGCTAAAAGTTGTAGAATCAAAATTATAGCTAAAAGCTAAAATGGCTTAACAGGTCAGTTTTAATAGCTAGCTAGAAGCTAAAAGTACTAAACACTAAATAAAAGGTAAATGTAGCAAAAAGCTAAATGCTGAATAGAGTAGCAAAATGCTAGCTGTATGCTAGAGGTAAGTGGTGGCTTAAAGTCAAAATAGCAAGCTAAAAGTGTAGCGTGAAAGTAGCTATATGTAGCAACAAGCTAACAGCATCTGGCCGTATGAGCATTAAAAGCTGCTTAAGTGTCAGAGGGCAACAAGCAAAACACTGAATATTTAAATTCCTTTAGCTGTTTCAGCTGCTGATCTGTGGCTAAAACAAAGTGACTGTCAGTAACAAACTCTTGTTTTGTTGTTTTCCAGGACTCACCTGGAGCAGGAGCTGAGGAGGGAGCGAGAGCAAAGACCTCGTCCCAGCACCTCATCAGGACCGCCCGGTTCATCGCGCAGGGACAGAAAGACCCCCGACAGGATCCAGAAGGTGGGTCTGAGATTGAAGCACCGGGCTGAGGTGGAACCGTGTCTCATTGGTTTGTTGTCCATCAGCCTCTGACAGAACCTGTACCGGTCCGACGGGACAGCGAGACATCTCAGAGCGAGCAGGAAGACAAAAGCAGCCTGAGCTCCAGTCTGTGAGTCCAGCACCTGCAGGCTTCAGGTTCTAATCTGGAACACGTCTGATCTTTGTCTCGGTTCTTGTCTCAGGTCTTTGTCACATCATGAAGACGAGCAGGTGAAATCAGTTTCTTTACGAAGTTCTGGACCATTGGTTCTGTTGGATAAAAGTTCTGTTTTCTTCAGGAAGAGTCGAGGTCAGAGGTCGTTGAGCCGTCGCTGTGTTCACTGTGCCAACAGGACGAGTCGCTGCTGAGGACCAAGGTACCAAACTAAAAGCTACACCTCAGACGCTTTATTTAAACCCATTTCAGACTCTTCAGCTTAAAATATTTATTGATTTAAGACTTGAACAAATTCTCACAAAGTCATCTTCTGAAATCATGACACAGCATTTTTAAAAACATTGATGAAAGCAGCCAGTGGTGGGTGCAGCTAATCAGTTAGCTTCATTAACCACTAACCCGCTAAGAATCTGAGCTCTGCTAACGCTACACGGAGGAATTAGATGCTAATGCTAACAGTCTTATTGGTTAGCGTTAACACTCTTGACACAAACTTAAGTTTTCTATTGGTTTAATTAAAAGGTGGGCGGGATCATCTTTGGCAAATCAGCTAATCCAAACAAGTTATAGCTGTCTGACTTCTGATACTTCCAGTTTAACTCTTTCAGATTAAAAGCATTTCTGACATTGAGATTGTATTTTTTATAAATGCAGATTAAAGTTAGTTAAAAAAGAAAAACTTTACCATATTTTATATTAATTAATCAATTTTTGTATGAAATAGTTAAATGTGATTTTGACACTTAATTTAACGTTTAGCTGCTAAAGATGCTACATGCTAACACACATGGTGGCTTATACCTATAGCGCTGCTTGTAAACGAGGATAATTTTGTATTTTTTGGGATAAATGAAAAAAGTTCTGTGCTTGGTAATTTCTTTCATAGGCCTAATTAGCGGAAGCTAATCGGACTGCTAACGGTTTCCAAAGTTAGCAAAAAGCTAATCTGCTTAATTAGCGGAAGGTGCCCACTACTGGAAGAAGCAAAAAATACATTTAGGAACTAAAATGAAAATTTTTAATTGTAAGATTAAGATAATTTAAGTAACTTAATTTACTTCAGATGATTTAAACATTAAATATTAAATGTTGAAACTCTGAAATTTGTTGTTTTTGACAGAAACATTTACCAGCTGAAGGGACAATAATGTTCTTGACTTTGACGGATTTTAAATAAAATTAAATATTACATGTTTGGAGCTGGTTAAGAGTTAAATTCAAGATGGCCGCCGCAGCGGGGTTCTGGTTCTGGTTGAAAACCTGCGGTTGTCTCCTCTCTCCTGGTAGAAACAGTGTAAAAACTGCAGCAGGTTTCTCTGCGAGAGCTGCGTGTCCAACGAGCTGCCGTTACCCTCCTCCATCCTGCCGGAGCCCGTCTGCACCGCCTGCTACAGCCAGCTGCTACTGCGCTACGCTTCGGCGTCGTCGTGAAGGCCGAGGCGTCGGGCGGGAAAACTGGAAGCACTTTGTTTTACCTTTTATTAAAAAAGATAAAAACCTGCAGGTTCTGACATCGTGGTGGACTCTTTTAACCTTCAGTTCTGGTCGCAGGTTCTCAGCATCTTCTGTCGTTTGAATCATGAAAACAAACTGTTGGAATCAGGTTTTAAACTCCGTTTTAATAAAAATAAAAATATACAACTGGATCTTCGAGTCTGTTGCGAGTTCATCAGGTTCTGTTTGTTTTATTGTGAAAATGCAAGCAGAAAAATAAAATGGCTCCGACATGTAAGGATGGACAAGTCTTCTCCTGGTGACATCTTAACTGTTTTGTAAATAAAAAGTTAGTCGTAAACCCCTCTATCAAACTGGAATGAACCGGTAAGGACGCTGGACGGGGCGGGGTGTAAAGTGCCTCAGTTAGATTTAAAGGGACAGCCCCAAAAGGAGTTGATCTGTGACATGCCCCAGAAAAGGGGCGGGGCTTGTGCAGTTAAAAGGAGGAAGCATCGCAGTTCCACTTTATATAAACCCAAACTTTACAGCAGATATTTAAGCTTCTATATTAGAACTCCAGCTTTATTTACTCTTCATTGTTTTTGTTCACATTTTAAAGATGAATCTTAAAGCAGATTTCCACCAGTTAGATTAAACATCTAATTCTAAAAAAATCTGTGATTTTGTCAGTTTTTAACTTAAAGATGGTGGAAAATAATCTAAACTTAAATCATGTCTGTAAATAAATGTTTAAATATTTGGTTTTTAACTGAAAATAACTGAAGACGTTTTATTACAATAAAATTCAGGTTTATTG